AAATAAAATTACATGTAGGGACACCAGGGTGGCTCAGGCAGTTAAGCCTCTGCCTTCAGCTCAGGTCATGATCCTGGGGTCCTGGGATCGGGTCCCACATCAGGCTCCTTGCTCGGCGGGGAGTCTGCTTCTCCCTCTGCCTGCCATTCCTCCTGCTTGTGCTCTCTCTCTGACAAATAAATAAAATCTTTAAAAAATAAAAATAAAATTATGTTTACATAATTGTTATCTTTGTCTGACTGGGGAGAAATGTGACTCCGGCACTCCCCATGATGTGAATCAATCTTTTGGGAGCAATGAGTGACTTCCCCCACCCCCAACCATCACCACCAAAAGACAAAACAAAAAACCATCACAATCTTAGGACTGGCAACTAGAGTCTTAAGAATTCTCTCCAAAGCAACTTTATATTCTTGATGTATCTCTGCAGCCACTCTGTTGCCTCTGGAACACTAAGCAACCCCCTAAGTTCATGGAAACCCACGATGGAAATCTACCCCTCTTGTAATGCCCTTGTTTGAGGATGGTATTGGCAGAGGAGAAGCTGTTGAGGAGGTGGTGGCTTCCTAGGGAAAGAAGCCCAATTCTGAGCGAGCTAAACTAAGCAAGGACACCAGTGCTTCTGGGCAAAGGAGGCGGGGAGGGAGGGAAACTAGGCTGGAGTCACAGGCAAGGTCCTTGACACAAACGTAGGCCATGCTTTGGGAGTCAGGTGGATTCTGGGAAACAACAAAGGAAAATGGCCCAGGGACAGCAAGTGAGTTAAGGTCAAGAGCCTTTTGGTGGAGAGGCACTATCTCAAGGGGAGAGAAGGGTGAGAGAGTGGAACATCTGGGGGTTTGGCGATGAGCCACAGCTAGGCCTTAACCCCAGCCTCAGAACACCAGTTTGGGTAAACAGTCTCAGGAGCTATCCTTGAAGAAAAGAGTCGGTACAAGCCCGAATCGTATCTCCTCTTGATAAATTATGAAGAAAAGCCCAAGACTTTTGCACCTCTCTCTCTCTCCCTCCCACTCTTCCCCAGAATGACGTCCGTCCGACAGATAAGCAGAAACGAGCTTCGCACGTCCAGAAGCAGAGCCAGGAGGCAGATCCCAGCGGCACACCCCCACAGACACAAGTGGTAGCTATGTCCTTTTAGCTTTTTTATTGAGCCATGTGGATGAGGTTCATGGTAAAGAGGTTCTCACACCCCCTTGCGGTGCCCAGCCTGGGACGGAGCTGAGGCTCAGCAACTGCCACAGTCACTGGGGTAGACGTCCCAGTGCAGGCCGATGGCGTTGATGAGGGAGCCAGCGCGACCACTGAAGAATCGAAGCACAGTGTGGGGGTACAAGGGGACAGCATTGAAACTCGTGCCTTTGTTTTTCCCAAAAGGCAGGTAGCGGCCCTTGTCAGTCACGAAGACCAGCTGCCTCACGTAGTACTTGTACTTGCCGGACACCTGGATCACTGACTCCCCAGGGTGCAGGATGATCTCCTCCAGGTCTCCCTGGGTGCCGCCCACGTAGTCGCTCCACACCTTGCCATAACGGACCTGGAGCCTAGAGGCCGGGCAGGGAGGGAAGGAAGACCGATGCTGAGTGGGGTGATCCGAATTCAGGACCCCTTGGTCTACCTGCCGAGACCTGCAAACTGGTGACGGGTGACAGGCCTCCTGCCAGTCCCACAGTGTGTGAGGGATGAGTGAGCCCTTGAGATCATACAGGGAACTTCAACTCATTTTGCCGACAAACACATAGGCTCAGAAAGGAAAAGTCACTTAGCCAGAGTCACCCAGACCAGACCAGTGCTGGAGCTTGATTTTGAAATCTAGATTCCTTGGGGCGCCTGGGTGGCTCAGTCGGTTAAGCGGCTGCCTTCGGCTCAGGTCATGATGGGATCGAGTCCCGCATCGGGCTCCCTGCTCGGCGGGGAGCCTGCTTCTCCCTCTCCCTCTGCCTGCCTCTCTGCCTACTTGTGCTCTCTATCTCTCTGTCAAATAAATAAATAAAATCTTCAAAAAAAGAAATCTAGATTCCTGCTGTGCCGCCCACCCCCCCACACACACACACACCCCACCCCATGTGAAAGGAGCAGAGGGATCTTTCTGGAAGGTTCTTATGAGGGCAGAGACTTTGTTGTCCCAGGATATAGTCCAGGATCGGAAGGATACACATTTTTAGAAGACGCATCAGCAAAGATGGAGGATGCCAGAGGGGCCTTAGACCTTGGATGGGGCCAAACCAGCCACCTTCCAGGCGCCTGAACAGCTATGGTATAGGATTTGCCCGAGGTTGCGTGTGCTTGGGCCTGTAGCAGCACTGGACTCAGATCTCGGTCTTCTAACCACTCTCACATATTATCATTGCGACTTGCTGACTGGAACAGACGTAACCCAAAGTGACTGAGAACTTTCCAGTTTAGCAAGATCAGAGGGGATCCCCAAACCCAGAGAAACACAAGGAATCTTACCCTACGATGTAGTAGCTGTTGACCCGGATACGGATGGCGGTGATGGGACCTTCCAGCTGGTAACCAGAATGGGAGAATCGCTGCCCTCCGCCGCCTCCATACTCTCCATTGTAGGAGGAGGACCTAGCCTGAACTGGAGGGGACAGTAGGAGTTGGAGGGGGAAATCTCAAGAGCTCAGTTTCTCCCCACCATCCCTATACCTCCCACGACTCAGTGCCCACCACTCCAAGCCAGCTTGGCCACCAGCAGTGAAGGAGGCTGCCTTCCCATGATGCTAGTGCTGGGCTCCTGGCTTCTCACTTACTGGCACTGGCCGAGGCTGATGCACAGAGAAGGGCAAGAAGAGCAATGGTCAACATCCTGGCGCTGAAGTGGAAAGAAAGGAGAAAGTCAAGGGTTAGCCTTTTTCCTCTGGACTTCATTTAGCCAGGCATCCCTGACCTCAGTTGAGACTCAGCCTTCTTTGTCCTTCAACTGAGACCTAACTGACCCAGTCTTGGGTTTAGAAAGGATTTTCCCTAGTCTCTGGTCCTGCTCCTAGAAGTCTATCTTCTGTGTCCTTAACCCCTCTGTCCTCCCTGGTCTGGAGGTAGCCAACTCCCTTCTTCCATCCCAGATCAGAAGATCGATCCTAACCCTCTATCTGGACCAAGCTGTGTTAAGTCCTGTTCCCTCCTGGCACAAAGCAGGAAAAGAGTTTGCAAAGAAGTGGAGACCATCTCCAAATCATAGAGATGGTTGAGTTTCCCAAACCAGGAGTCTGAGCAAAACCTAACTGAAATCTGCCTGTGATGGACTGGCCTGGCTTGGGGGACATCTGGGGCAGAGTTCAAATTCTTAGCTTCCCGCTGGTCTCTGATCAGAAGGAAAGGAGCATTTTAGAGCTGCGTCTCTGTGTCACCGGGGGAGTGGAGGTGATGATAGACGAGACCACCAGCATCAGAGTAGTTCAGGCGGAGGTGGATAGACTGAGAGATTGCAGAAGGAGTTTGGACCAGCTCAAGATAGTAGATACCAGATGTCTGCTCTATGTGTCATTCTTTCTCCACTAACACAAATTCTGCCACATCGATGCCCCCGAGCATCCCAGGCATCCCCATTCCTTCCACCGAGACCCAGATATCTTTGCACCTTACTCAGATGCAGATGCCCCAGTTAGCTGACACACAGGTCTCCCCTGCTGCTCAATCCAGGCAGTTTCCTGTCCAGCTCAGCTTGAATTCCCCCTAACTCAAACCCAGCCATCCCTGTCACCCATTAGCTCAGGCCTCTGTCACCCCTCACCTGGCAGTTTCAAGTGCAAAGTAACCCCCCTGAAACTTTCAGATCTTTTATACCAGGTCCAAGCCCTCCCCCTGCTCTTTATCGTGTGAACCTCACTTTCTGAGCAAATATGATCAATCTCTTAGGATCGGTTGTTAGGCAGGGTCTGGAACTTCTTATCCTGCCTCTCCCCGCAAAGGTTACAGGTCATAGGGTGGGGTCCACTTGGGGCCAAGGCCCAGATCTCATGACAGGCAGAATAAACTTGAGAAAAGCTCACCAACTGAGGGGCCAGAAGCTTTGGGTGGGCGAAGTTGCTACTCACTTCTGGGTGTGGTCTAAGGTTCTCCCTCCCCTCCTTGGGTGTTCTGCAGGTGCTCCTCCCTGCAATCTGTCAACTTTCAGGATAAACACCGTCCTCTCAGGGCATTTGAAATATAGATTCTCCTGGAAAGGGATTACACTCCCAATGCCCTAGACTTAGGAGTGTCTACTATTTTCCAGACAATTTTTTCTGTCTGTCTTCCCTGTTACTCTGTATGGAAAAAAAGTCCAAACATATAGAAAAATTGAAAGAATTATACAGTGAACACCCATATACCCCCATGTCAATTCTACCATGGTTAATATTTTGCTGTGCTTGTTTCCTCCCTCCCCCCCCCACCGTCTATCCATCCCCAACCTGCCAGACTGTTCACAAACCTTTTCGGAGAAGGGTAACATGGTGTTGCAGGTGGACACTGAACCCCTGTAGATCCCCCTCCTGGGAACAGAGGTCCAGAGGGCAAGTGGAAAGCTAAGGAAGTAAAAGTAGACAGGTCCGCCTTTGGAGGCAGTTCTGGGCTCGGGGCCTTAGGACTTCCGGGAGTGACGGCCGAATCTTCTGGGGGCTACAGCCCACACTGGACAGTTGCTCTTTCCCATAGGTCTGAAACCTCCCCAGGATTGATGTAATAGACTTCTTCTCTTTGGAGGCCCTTCCCTTCCACCTAGTCCCTAGGACAGACTCCTGAGTCCTACTTCCTGACCCCTCTAAGACTGGCTCTTTGACCCTCTGAGTCAGCAGATCCTCCCAAGCAGAGGGAAGGATGGAGCCCAGGGAGGGGCTGGAGTCATTAGCCTCAGTTCTTAATGACTAGTAGCTGGACACACAGAGCACCCACCCATCACAGGCTCACCATCTAGGACTGAGGACTCCTCCCAAGAACACAAGGGAGCCACACCCTAAGGAGCCGGCAATAGGACAGGGCTCTTCACCGGAGGTTCCAGAACAAGGAGGGCAGCCAAGGACACGTTGTCTGACGGCTCTTCTCCAAGTTCAAAACAAGCCTGTCCTGCTGACATAACTTCTTCATTCCAGATATTTTGTTCTGTCTCTTGTCCTCTCTGGCTTTCCTTTCTTTCCCGATTCTCTGTCTTGATCTTTTCCCCTCATCTCCTGTTCTGAGGATTTTTCTTTATATTCCCTCTCTCTGTGCCTTTTTCCTTCTGCCTCTTTGTCTCTCCTCCTCCCCCAAACTCTCTCTTTCCTGTCTCCTCTCTCACTATTGTTTGTCTCTCTCCTCTTCCTTATTAGTATATCCCACAGGATGGAACCAAACACCAGATATCAAAGATGGCAGCTCTGAGAGTTCTGAGGTGAACACCTTGGGAGAACGCCCTCGTCTTCCCATGCATGACACATCTGGGACCCTCCGAACAGAGGCCCCCACACTTGTCATAGGTTCACTCTGAGGCACTGACTCAGAGAGCCAGAGTCTCCCCCATGCCTGCAGACTGGCCCCTGGGTTCCCCACAGCAGGCCCTCCAGCCCCTCTCCGGAGGGTAATAGAGGCCTTTCTTCCAGTGCAAGGGGTCTCAGGGTTCATCCTCGGTCGGTCCCAGAGACCAGATAGGCCATGGTGCGGCTAATGTGGGGACGTCCAGGGTTTGCTCTGATGAGGCGCCTGAAGAGCCAGGAGGAAAATGGTGGAGGCAGGATACCCGGCCCACCTCTGCTTCCACTTCATTAGCTCCTGTTTGAACTTCTCACATTTTACCCATGTGTCTGCCGGGGGCCTACCTGCCTTAGTCCTACAGGCAGTGGGGGTCACCCCCTAGGGTCCCACAGGCAGTGGGGGTCACCCCCCTAGGGTCCGACAGGCAGTGGGGGTCACCCCCTAGGGTCCCACAGGCAGTGAAAGACCAAAGCCTCCCCAGGCTTTCCGCTGTTGCAGGCAGCTTAGGTTCCCTCCCTGTTTTCTCTGCCCTCTTGGCAAAGCAACTTACTCAACACATTTATGGAGCATCTGTGTGTTGGCCCCACGCTCTAGATGCTGGAGAGACAGCCACGGAGGAGAGTCCCGTGTACCCCCAGGAGCTTTCGCTCCAGGCTCCAGGGGGGCCGTCAGACAATCGAACAACTGTTGGCACATGACAGGCCCTGAGGAAATAAAGCAGAGTGAGCCTCGAGCAGGGCTGGGGAAGGCGCTGCTCTGCCCGGGAGGCCGCCCTGCTCCGTAACGTTCCCGAAGACCTGACTGAACGATGGAGAGAAGACAGGTGTTTGGGTGAAGACTGGGCCTGGCGAAGGCACGAGTACCAAAGCCCTGAGCAGGGGTGTGCGGGGCGGTGTGCGGGCAGAGTAGAAACGGGGGGGGGGGAGCCTGTGGTAAGTGTGGAAGCCAGGGGGAGGGGAGGTCAGGGGGCAGACGGTGCAGGGCCTGGGAGGCCGTGGTCAGGAGTTTGGATTCCTCCTGATGGCGAGGGGAGCCATGGAGGGGTTTTGCCTTTTAAAAAGTGGCGAATGGAGGGGCGCCTGGGTGGCTCAGTCGGCTGAGGTGGGACTCGTGGTTTCGCCCAGGTCGTGATCTCCGGCTGCGGGATCGAGCCCGCGTCGGGCTCCCGCGGACTCCGCTTCTCCCTCTCCCTCCCCCTCTGTCCTTCGCTCGATCGCTCTCTCAAAAAAATAAATAAAATATATTTTTTAAAGATTTTATTTATTTGAGAGAGAGAGAGAGAGCGCACGAGGAGGGGGAGCAGCGGGGCTCGATCCTAGGACTCTGGGATCATGACCTGAGCCGAAGGCAGACGCTTAACCTACTGAGCTACTACCCAGGCGCCCCAGTAAAAAAAAAAAAAATTAAATAAAAAAGTAAAAGTGGAGAATGGAGCTCGGTGGGGGTAGGGGGTGGTCAGAGTGCAGCGCGAGCTCTCACCACCACCCCCCCCCGCCACACCCGGCCCCCCGGGGCTCCGCTCCTCCCCTGCTCGGCGCCCGGAGAACTACCTCCTCTCCCAGACAAAGCAGCTTAAGTGCTGGTGCAAATTCAGACCCCGGGGCTGGGGGTGGGGTGGGGGGGTGAGAATCTAACCCCCTCGCTCCGATCACGGATTTTCCAAAAGATGTTTCCAGACAATGGCAGATCTGTTTCCTGTTCAGAAAAGAAATTCTCTCTCTCCTCGTGTGTGCCTTGGGTCTCCCAGCTGGCTTCATTTGAACAAAGGGTTTTAATACAAAAGCAAAATGAACATTTCTGTTCATCCTTCACTGTTCCAGGGAGGAAACTGAAGTCTCGCGAGAGAAGTGACCCCACTAAAGTGGCAGAGAGGGTCCCTCCACTCCTTACCCTCCTGTCCCCAGTGCCCGAAATGCCTGCCCCCGCAGGGGCCCGCGGTTTACTCTTGCCACTCCTGTTGCCTAAAATGTTCTCTGCCTTCTGCTCTCCTAGTATCTTCTACCCTCAAGACAGTCAGCCATACCATCCCCCGCCGCCCCGTACCCCTCACCGAGCCTTCTATCACAGGTGTCCCCTCCCCAGCCCCTCCACTACAAACAGAATTCCTTTCTCTGGCCTCCAGCTGTGCTTCCTACAGCACCAGCCCGGCTCCGATTACCCTGCGCTGTTATTTAACTGTTTACACAGAAGCCTCCGCTACTAAACCTGGAGCCCATTCCAAGGTTCCTGCTCCCCACCTGGCACAGAGCAGGCGCCCCAGAAATGACGCTCAGATGCCCTGGCTACGGAGAGAATTCTATTAAATGCTCCTCCTTTGTCTTTTCATGCCTGTGTCTCTTCTGGCAGGCTCGTGTTTGGGTTCTCTTGTTTCTTATTTCTGAATCTTCTGGCGAAATTCTGTATTCGGTAGAATACTGGACATAAAGATAGAATTTCAGGTTGAGGTCCTCCATCCAACACTCAGTAGCTGGGTGAATGTAAAGAAGTCACTTTATTTTTTGGAGCCTAGATTTCTGCATTTGTAAAATGAGGGGGTGGGTAAAAAGGGTCTCGAGATCAACCCAAATCCTCAAGGACAATGTTTTTCAAACTGTAGGTCTTAACTCACCAGTGGACCACAAAATCAGTTTAACAGCTTCAAGACCACAAGTCTAAATACTGTTTCCTCAACTATTGTTTCAGTTAAATACTCTATACTGTGTGTACTGGCTCATAATACAAAATGTTCTTTCCTATTGTGAATTGCTGTTTCTGAAAAAAATAAACTTTACCTTTCTCAAAGGGTAAGATTCTTTGTATACCAACACAATTCAAAACTGCCAGGCTAGAAGTGGGTTGGGACACCTCTAGGGCAGTAACCAGAGCAGCTCCAGAAACCCACTCAGGTGGAGAAGTAAATGTTAGTGGGCGCCTGGGTGGCTCAGTTGGTTAAGCGACTGCCTTCGGCTCAGGTCATGATCCTGGAGTCCCGGGATCGAGTCCCGCATCGGGCTCCCTGCTCGGCGGGGAGTCTGCTTCTCCCTCTCCCACTCCCCGTTTGTGTTCCCTCTCTCGCTGTGTCTTTCTCTGTCAAATAAATAGGTAGAATCTTTAAAAAAAAAAAAAAAAAAAAGAAGTAAATGTTAGTAATTTTTTTTTTTGACATGTAATTGACATGTAACATTATCAGTTTCAGGTATACAACATAATGACTGGACAAAATGAGTTAATCACTTTTTGAATTTGGAAACCTATAGTGATGGACCAGGAATTCGTGGACAGAATGTTGTATTAGAGACAAGTCTTAAAGCTTGGCTCCTGCCCTTACTCATTCCATGACCTTTGGAGCTTCAGTTTGTTCATCTGCTATAGGAGATGAGACCAACCAATTGTCACAAGCCCCGGGCACGGATCTGGCACACATAAGTACAGAATAAACATTTATTTTTTTTCTCTCTTTAATTCTCACAAAACATGGCCTTTTTTTTTTAAGAGTTTATTTATTTATTTGTCAGAGAGAGAGAGAGAACAAGCAGGGGGAAACCGGCTCCCCGCTGAGCAAGGAGCCCAACTTGGGGCTCGATTCAGGTACTCCGTTATCATGACCTGAGCAGAAGGCAGACACTTAACCACCTGAGCCACCCAGGTGTCCCATGGCCTTTCTTTTTATATCTCTTTCAGATAAAATTGATGAGGGCAAGCCTTGTCTTTCTTACCTGTAGTTAGCTTTATTTTATGGTATAACTTAGTTCAGAGCCTGGAGATCTTTATCAAATGCATCATAAGACTTGAAGAAAGAAAATTTTTTTAAGTTTATTTTTTTAGTCATCTCTACATCCTACACGGGGCTTGAACTCAGGATCCTGAGATCAAGAGTCACATGCTCTTCCAACTGAGACAGGCAGGTGCCCCTCAAAGATAGAATTTTCTGTAAGCTGACTTGAACAACTCAAGTTAAAGTCACTTGGGAATCTGTTTTTAATTTCCTTGTATTGAGCTATGATTACATGGTAATTCTTTTTTTAATCTGTGTGTATGCGTTTTTTTGTTGTTGTTTGGTGTTTTTTTGTTTTGTTTTTTTAAGATTTCATTTATTTGAGAGAGAGAGCGTGAGTGGGAGAGAGAGAGAGCACAGAGATAGAGTGGGAGGGAGAAGCAGACTCCCCGCTGAGCAGGGAGTGTGATGTGGGGCTTGATCCCGGGACCCCGGGATCATGACCTCAACCGAAGGCAGACACTTAACCAACTGAGCCACCCAGGCACCCCATGTTTTTTGTTTTTAATATTTTATTTTTAAGGGGCGCCTGGGTGGCTCAGTTGGTTGAACGTCCTACTCAGTTCAGCTCAGGTCATGATCTCAGGGTTATGGGATTGAACCCCACGTCGGGCTCCCCACTGGGCATGGAGCCTGCTTGGATTTTCTCTGTCCCTTTCCCTCTGCCCCTCCCCACCCAGCTTGTGCTCTCTCTCTTTTAAAAAAGAAAAAAATGCACCCCCATTCTTATCATTTTTCACAGCTTTCAAGGTGGGAATCTCTGACTCTTGGATCCTGAGCAGCTGGTAAGTGACATCCGGCAGGCCCTGAGCAGTGATGAAACGCTCCTGAGCTCAGCCCTGTCTTTATTCCCTGAGGGCAGCAAGATGGCCCCGGGGGGGGGGGGAAGGCTGGGACTCTCAGCAGGGTACCGCTGCAGGTGGTCGAGGGTGAAGGGAAGAGCAATAGGAAGTACCTGGACTCTCTTGTTTAAGCTCTGGCTGTGTTTCCTGTGATTGACCTACTCAGTAAGTCATTCATTCAGCAGGAGGGGGAGGTTGGAGATGGTCAGATCTGGGCTCCGATTCAGCTCCGGCACTTGAGTGGTGTGACTTTGGATGACATTAACCAACTTTCTCAATTGGCCCAGAATTAAAGGGTTTTCTGAGATGTGGCACTTCCAGTGCTAAAACCAGGATGGTCCTGGGGCGCCTGTCTGGCTCAATTGGTAGAGTATGCCACTCCTGATCTTGGAGTTGTGAGTTCAAGCCCCACGTTGGGCATAGAGCTTACATTACATACATAAATACATACAGGGATGCCTGGGTGGCTCGGTTGGTTAAGCGTCTGCCTTCGGCTCAGGTCATGATCCCGGAGTCCCAGGATGGAGCCCCGCATAGGGCTACCCGCTAGGCAGGGAGTCTGCTTCTCCCTCTCCCTCCACCCCTCCCACCCCCATTCATGCTCTCTCTCTCAAATAAATAAATAAAATCTAAAAAAAAAAAAAAATACATACATACTTAAAACGAGGATGATCCAGACACGATTGGGACGGTTGGTCACCCCAGATGGGCTACTCAAACCCTTCTAAAGCCTCAGTTTCCAAGTGTATTCCAGCTATCTGCTGTCTGCTTCTCTGCTCCTAACCACCTGGGGTTGTGCTTTTCAGAGAACAAAAGAGCAGGGAACATAGTTTAATTCCATCTAGTCAGAAGAAGCTCAAGGTTGACTGCATGCTCCTTTATCTGCTGAAGCTGAACTTCCTTTTTTTTTTAAGCCCAAAGGGTAATGTATTATAAGGACACAAGAACCCAAGGACAGGCGTGAAGCTGGGCATCAGGAAGGAACTAGAACCAGGGACTCAAATACCATCAGAAATGGTCTCTCCAATGCTCCTGTCTGCTGGCTGCTACTTCCACTTCTCTGGTCCATGTGATGGGAGTGGGGTCACTGAGAGCTCCTAACATGTACATCTAACAGATTCAGTCATCCAGGCAGTCATTCAATCTCAGCCCCGAAGTTCCAAGGGAGAAGACTACTTGGTCCAGCACCAGTGAGGTGTTAACCCAGTAACACTGGGTTAACAGTGTAGGAACCATTCAGAAAAGGTGATTCCTCAAATGGTGGCGCTAGTTAGAGAACCCAACAAGTGCCCAGGACAGGGCAGAAGCTGTGGGACTCCCCCACGAGGTAGGCTAGTGCAGTGGTTCTTGGAATCACCCGGAAGTCCCTAAGACTGCCACCTGGGTCCCACCTCCTGGGAGACTCTGATTGTCTTGGTCTGGGGTGTGGCTACAGCGTCAAGCTTTTATTCTCTTTTTTTTTTTTTTTAAAGATTTTATTCATTTCCAGAAAGAGAGAGAGAGCACAAGCAGGGGTAGGAGCAGAGGGAGAAGCAGGCTCCCTGCTAAAGCAGGGAACCTGATGCAGGACTCGATCTCAGGACTCCGGGATCATGACCTGAGCTGAAGGCAGACCCCTAACCGACTGAGCCACCCCGGTGCCCCTACAGCGTGGAGCTTTTTTTAAAAAAGCTTCCCACGTGTTTTGGGTGTGCAGCCAAGGTTGTGAGGCTCTGCCCGGCGCTGCGCGCCCCCAGATCACCTAACGCCTCTGATGCGCCAAGTCTGGGCGGAGCCTGAGATCGGCAGGCCAGGGCCCTCCCAGGAGATGCTGCGCTCGCCCGCCCTCAGGCCGCTTGGGGCCGTGAAGTTCAAGTGCAGCACCGACCAACAGGGCTCTCGGTGGTGGAACGTTTGCGGCCGCGCTGCCCGGGTCGGCGGTCACTACCAGCTGCACGCGCCGATTGAGCACCTGAAATGTAATTACTGAGCCCGAAGCACTCCTGAGTATTTTATTTGAATTAAATTGAATTTGAAGAGCCGCATGCGGCTAATGACTACTGCACTGGACAGAACAGGTCTGGTGATCTCAGCTGGGGGCGGGAGGGCATATCTGAACCGCCTGGGGCATTTCCTAACCCACCTCAGGGCCCCTGTTGCTGCGGCTGTCCTCACCGCCCCCCCATCTCAGGCCCTAAAACAGTGGAAGAGAATGGGGGGGCAGAGGGATAAAGAGTGGGCGCTAGAGAAGGCCCCGCAGGCGATTCTGAAGCCCGGTCCTTACTCGTCCTTACTCACCTGGTGAGAGCCGCGCCGGAGAGCGGTCCAGTTATACCCACTTCGGAGTCACAAACTTCCCCGAAACCTAGTGCTCTAAGGCAGTGAGACTGATTTTTCTCATAAATCTGTTTTATTTGTTTTCTTTCTTTTTTAAAAAAAGATTTTATTTATTTGAGAGAGCGAGCGAGAGAGAGAGCACTAGATGGGGGAGTGGCAGAGGGAGAAGCAGGCTTCCTGCGGAGCAGGGAGACCGACACGGGGCTTGATCCCAGGACCCGGGGATCATGACCTGAGCTGAAGGCAGACGCCTAACGACTGAGCCACCCAGGCGCCCCTATTTATTTATTTTAGAGGGAGTAAGGGCAGAGAGAGAGAATCTTTCAAGCAGACTCCCCGCTAAGCATGGAGCTGGAAGCGGGGATTGATCCCGAAACCCACAAGATCACAACCTGAGCCAAAACCAAGACTCCGACGCTCAACCGACTGAACCACCCAAGCGCCTGCTGTCCCTTTTTTTTTTTTTTAAAGATTTTATTTATTTGACAGAGAGAGACACAGTGAGAGAGGGAACCCAAGCAGGGGGGAATAGGAGAGGGAGAAGCAGGCTCCCCGATGAGCAGGGAGCCCGATGCGGGGCTTGATCCTAGGACCCTGGGATCATGACCCGAGCCGAAGGCAGACGTTTAATGGACTGAGCCACCCAGGCGCCCCTGTCCCCTTTTTTTTTTAACCTAGGCTTGGGACATGCTGTCACTTCGACTCTCTTCCATTCATTAGAAGTCAGTCACTAAGGCTAGCCTCTGTTCAAGAGATGGGGGACGGGACTCAACCCTATGACAGAAGAAATGTCAAGGATTTGCAGACACGTTTTAAAACCACCACATACACTTAGAAGGGAAGAGTCCCAAGGACAGAACTGTGCACACAGCAGCCCACAAGCCGGCTGCCTACTCTATGAGAATTAAGTTTTCTCTCGCTGGTTCCAGGTATGGTCAGGTTCCTCCCTGAACACCTAGCCCCAGGAGCACCCTTTCAACCCAGAAGACAACCCCCCCAGGGCCTGTTTCATAGACTTCTGACCCAGAGACTTCTCTATTGCACACACTCCTTGAGTTACTTCCTGATTTCTGTTTTCAGAAATTCTTGAGCACTGGAGTGGGAGGAACCTGAGCATCTGGACATCTGGGTTCTGATCCCTGCCCTGCAGAAGGTTGTAAAAAAAAAAAAATGCAGGCTGGGGCGCCTGGCTGGCTCGGTCAGTGGAGCATGTGACTCTTGATCTCGGCATTGTGAGTTCGAGCCCCACGTTTGGTGTAGAGATTACTTAAAAATAAAATCTTAAGGGGAGCCTGAGTGGCTCAGTTGTTTAGCATCTGCCCTCGGCTCAGGTCATGATCCCAGGGTCCTGGGATCGAGCCCCGTGTCGGGCTCCCTGCTCCGCGGGGAGCCTGCTTCTCCCTCTCCCACTCCCCCTGCTTGTGTTCCCTATCTCTCAGTGTCTCTCTCTGTCAAATAAATAAATAAAATCTTAAAAAAATAAAATTTAATTTAAAAAAATCTTTTTTTTTAAGATTTTAAGGATTTTATTTATTTATTTGACAGACAGCGAGAGAGGGAACACATCCATCTTGAGAACGTTTTCGTCTTTTTTTTTTTTAAGATTTTCTTTATTTATTTGACGGAGAGACAGCGAGAGGGAACATAAGCAGGGGGAGTGGGAGAGGGAGAAGCAGGCTTCCTGCTGAGCAGGGAGCCTGACGCGGGGCCTTGATCCCAGGACCCCGGGATCCTGACCTGAGCCGAAGGTAGACACTTAACAACTGAGCCACCTAGGCGCCCCTAGAGAACGTTTTCATCTTGTCAAACTGAAATTCTATACCCATTAAACAGCAACTCCCCATTCCCCTTTCCCCCCAGTCCCTGACAACCCCCATTCTACTTTCTTTGTCTCTGTGAGTTTGACTGCTCTGGGGACCTCGTACAAGTAGAATTCTACAGTATTTGTCTTTTTGTGACTGCTTATTTCACTTAGCATATGGTTTTCTTTTCTTTTAAGATTTTATTTATTTGTCAGAAAGAGGGAGAGCACAAGCAGGGGAGTGGCAGAGGGAGAAACAGACTCCCCGCTGAGCAGGGAGACTGACATGGGGCTCGATCCCAGGACCCTGAGATCATGACCTGAGCTGAAGGCGGACACTTAACCAACTGAGCCACACAGGCGTCCCTAGCATATGGTTTTCAAGGTTCAGCCATGTTGTAGCAGGTGTCAGACTGTCCTTCCTTTTTGGGGCTGAATAATATTCCACTGCGTCTATGCAATATATGTGTGTGCATATAGCATTTTGCTTATCCATTCATCCGTTGATGGACATTTAAGTTTTTTCTACCTTTCAGCTGTTGTGAATAATGCTGCTAATAAACACAGGTGTGCAAATATCTGTTTGACCCTCTGCTTTCAGTTCTTCTGTATATACATAGAAGTATAATTGCTGGATCACCAAGTAATTCTATTTTTAATTTTTTAAGAAACTAGTTAAAAAATGTTAAGCTTTTTTTTTTTTTTTTAAGTGATAGGAGAGTTAAGAATTAAAACATTCAGAGGCACCTGGGTGGCTCAGTCAGTTAAACATCCGACTCTGGATCTTGGCAGGGGTCCTGATCTCAGGGTCATGAGATAGAAACCTGAGTCAGCCTGCATGGGGTAAGCATGGAGCCTGCTTGGGATTCTCTCTCTCCGTCTTTCTCTGCCCACCCCGCCCCCACCTCACTCATGTGCGCAAGCCCACGCTCTTGCTCTCTCTCTCTCAAAAAAAAAAAAAAAAAAATCAAAACATCCAGTTTTGATTCCAGATCATAGCTGATCTTCCTGGTTTTAATAATGTTTATCCTTCTAGTGTATTGTCTTTTTAAGGAAAGACTAAAACAGAACATACATAATTTTCAGTTTTTACTTATGTATTCACTTATTTAGATTTTTAAAAACTTTTTTATTGTTGTAAATACCTGTAACAAAACTTACCTTAACCTGTTTTTTTTAAGATTTTATTTATTTATTTATTTATTTGACAGAGAGAGCGCAAGCAGGGGGAGAGGCTGGGAAGAATCAGAGCAGGAAGCCTGATGTGGAGCTCAATCCCAGGACCCTGGGATCATGACCTGAGCCGAAGGCAGACACTTAACCGACTGAGCCACCCAGGCGTCCCTAACCTGTTTTGTTGGGGTTTTTTTACGTTTATTTATTTTTTTTAGTAATCTCTATGCCCAAAGTGCGGGTCGAACTCATGACCCCAAGATCAAGAGTCGCACGTCCTTCCAACAGAGCGAACCAGGTGCCCCAATCTTAACCATTTTTAAGTGTCCAGTTCGGTAGTATCAGGTTCAGGTTTTATTTTAAGGCTTATGATCTCATCAAATTATAATCACATCGGGTTTCAGCATGTGTCACAGGGCCCGGAGCTTCCGGACTCTATTTCCACCTACTCCCATCCCATGCTACACTCTGTGCTCCTTCCGGCCCTTTCCTCAAAACCACCAGGACCGAGCAATGTGAGTCACGCTGCCCTTGTAACCATCTTCTAAGACACTAACGTTTCAATGTACATTCAGATACTTATTTTTCAGTCTTTCTCATTAAATGGCTGTCATTTTGCAAAAGAAAATATTAGTCCTGAGTAAGAGTTGTGTTGTGTTGGGTTGCTTGCCCGACTAGGAATTTATATCTATGCTTCTCCGGTCCCTCCCACATACATGGGTTGTATGACCTCGGGCACGACACGGCCCTTATGCGGGGCCTGCTTGTCATCTGTCTGCCAGCGAGTTAAACTAGACAATCTCCGAAGGGACCCAAGTGGCTGACGACACTCCCTCATGCCCCCCGCCAGGCTCCTCTTGACCCCTCACCCCAGGAGAAAGGACCAGGGTGGCAAACGTCCAGAGCCTTGGAGATAGGCCTAAGCCTGATTCTGGATTCTTCCCAGAGGCCCTACTCTGCTGCTACCCACGCCTCGCCTTACAGATGTCTTCCAACCAAAACTGAGGCCACATGGTCTGAAGACAAAGAGATGTATGTTCATGAGAAGTATGGGGAAGGCTGGGTCAAGCAGGAGGGGGTATGGGCTGGGGGGCAGGAGCACATTTGGTGGGGCCCCATGGGCAGGCCAGGGACAGGGCAACCGCCTGCGGGGGGAGCCAGGAGCCTCGGGGCTCTGCAAACCGACCTCCTTCTCGGTCTCCAGGTGAATGTTCTGGGGCCTGGGGCTTGGCTATGAGGTGAGACTGAGTTCAATACAAGCATAGCCCATTCGGGCCCCACCTCTCGCCAGGAAACGCCTCCCCACCACATTGACCACATCCCCCCAGGTTGCCTAGGAAACACTCCACTGGGGCCAGAGGAGCTGGGGCACCATTGCCCAGCAACAGGGGGTGCCCTCCCTTCCGCCCTTATCTGAGGCAACTGCCCGGCACCCTCCTCCACAGGGAGGAGTGCTCTGAATGGGAGAGCCAGGAGCCTTGGGGCTGCCCCCAGCTAAGGTGAGGCTGCAGGAGGACCCTGCAGGTGGGGGGCCTGGTAGGCAGAGACAAGCAAGGGAGACAGAGCCTGCGGGGTGGGGGGGGCGGCGGGGACAGGTGCAGAGGTGGGGCCTGACACCTAGCACGACAGCAACAAGGTGGAGCCTGTAGAGAGCAAGACCCACTCCACGGAGAGTCGTGAGGCCGCCGGAGCGTCCAAGGTGCCAGCCAGCAGCGGGTGGGCGCACACACACGGGGTGGGAGCTGGCAGGGAGGAGGGGAGCTTCTCATTTCCTTACCCACCACTTCCTCTGAGGCCCAAGCAAGACCTGGGGCGCAGGGGCGCAGTGGGGAGGGGGTGCTAGACAGGAGGAAAGAAGCCCTTGGGGGCCCTTAGGTTTCGTCTGAGGCACCCCCGGGTCTGAGAGGGAACCAGGGCTTCTGGAAGCGAGCTGGGGAGCCTGAGCGGGCGTGTCCGGTTGCCGGCCACGGAGGGACCCTGGCTCTCCAGCCTTCTGCCTCTCTCTTGCCCTTCTGGGGTCCCCTTTGCTCCTCTGTCTGTCGGGGTCTATTTCCCAGGCCAGATACCAAGCCCCTTGGGCTTCTGTCTCTCTCCTCACTGTGGTCTGGACACTCATGGCCTCTCTCTCTCTCTCTCTCTCTAGGCCCACCCTGTCTCATCTGCTTCCTCTCCTGACCCCTGTCTCTCCAGATGCCTTCGACTCCTGAGCAGCCCTCTGGGCACACGGAGGGACTCCCTACATCAGAGCTGGGTTCGTGGCCCCCACTGCCCTGCGGGCCCTGCATCCCCATCATGCTGGCCCTGGCCTCCCTCTCTGCACTCTTCCTCCTAACAACAGCCGTGTTGGCCGAACGCCTGTTCCGCCGCTCACAGCACCCAGACCCCAGCACCCATGCACCCACCCTGGTCTGGCGCCCCGGAGGAGAACTGTGGATTGAGCCCAGGGGCACCCCCCGAGAGCGCTCCGAGGACTGGTACGGATCTGCGGTCCCCTTGCTGATGGACCAGGCCCCAGACCCCCCCATCCCCGGGGGCACCTTGGAGGCCCACGCAACAGCCCCACCTGCCCCTTTAGCCCCACTCTCCCCGTCCGGCTCCTTGGTCCCCCGCACCCCACCCAGGGCCCCAGCCCGCAGCACCTTCTGGGGGCCTCAGGCCTTGAACGAGAGGCCCTGTGTCCCGGGCTTGGTGAGCTGGGCTGAGTCGGAACAGAGGCCAGAGGCCAACGTGTACTTGGGGAGCCCCCAGGCCCAGAGGCAGCGACTAGGAAGCCCTGACCCTGAGTGGGGCCTCCAGCCTCGGGTGACCCTGGAGCAGATCTCCGCTTTCTGGAAGCGTGAAGGTCGGACCAGCGTGGGGTTCTGAATCCCCAGGGCCTGGAGGATTGGCCTCCCAAAGACCCCTGAGGAAGGCCCTACCTCAGAGAGTCTCTCCGACGCCTTAAGGCCCTGAAGCTCCAGCCCAGGAACCCAAGCTGATACTTGGGCCCCTGGGGAAGAATGCCGCACACCCGCCGCCAGCCTTTTACATCTGGATTTCAATTCCCTGGATCTGGGGCCAGGGGGGCTCCGTGTGGACAGAGCCGGTGCTCCAGAGGAAGCCCAGAGGTGCCTCTCTTTGGCTGCCCAGGCCTGCGGCACAGAGAATTGGGGATGGGGCCGACTCTGGGCCAGAAGCCACCAAAATCACGTTGCAGATTAAGATCTCAAGGTACCAGAGAGGCAGAAAATAGCATCATCACTGAGGCTTCCACCTTCCTTGTGCACCTAAGATGCTGGGATCCGAGTGCGGGGGTCCCGTGGATGCTGAAGAACAGGCTGAGTGTGGATGACGAAGGTCAGTCCCGCCAGCAGGAGGGGACAGGAAGCCAGCCTCCCAGAGCCACAGATCATGCCTCCAGGAAAACTAACACAGAGGTCAAGACCAGGCAAAGGAGCGTCTTATTACACCTCAACTGTGGCTTTGACCCCCAACTTGCAACAGGGACTTGGTCAGCCAAACTGGAGAGGCCCCTTCCTTGCCTACAGCTGGGACCTCGCGTCAATGGCAGGCAGCCCTCCGACTCTGACCCCCTGCAGGGGGAGGGAGGCCAGCCAAGGAGATGTGAGTTTGATCCAATACGGAAAGGAACACTGTCCCAGGGCAGAGCGGCTCCTAATATGCGGCCTCTGGCCACCTTCCCTCCCAGCTTGCTGGATCAGTCCAGAGAGACAGATTTGCCGCAAGGCAGGCTTATTTATAAAGCTCCATCCTGAAGAAATGGAGCCCAGAGATGTCCTTGGCCCTACAGCCATCTGTCTGAGCTGATCTCCTCTCTGGGAGAGGAGCTAGGAGCTGGGGAGAGGGGAAGGGGTTTCCGTTCCCAGGGGTCCGACTTCCCCAACTTCACTCATGAATGTTAGGATTTTTGTCGGACCACTTTACCACCCCTGTACTATTCTTTACTTTATATTTTTCTTTAAGATGATGTACTATTTGCTTAATAAATTTATTTTAAAAGGAACCTTTTTTGTATCACTTCTGCAAATGGAAAACCAGTATCGCTTACTATAAATAGAAGGTTCGACATGAAAAGAAATACAAGGTAAACAAAGATATTAGGTAGACATTGTTCCCATTCATTGACTCAAAGATCTGCTTTTTCTTTGTTAAAGGAAAAGAGAACCGATGGATCAGCAAGGGTTAGGAAACTGTTAGACATCCTCATACCATCCTGCGGCCTCCTCCCTCTCCCCTCCCCGC